GGAGCAATTATTTAGTGTGAAGTTTTCTACTACAACTGATATCAGTCATGTGGTTCTTTGCATTGAAACACATAGGTTTCACCTGGCAGCGCTCCAAATATTATGTTATGCAAAAAGCAGACTTAAATACATTGTAGTTGGGAGGTCATGCAGAGATTTGTTTTTCAGTGAAGCAGACAGATGGCAGACACTGGCCCTGAAATCATCTCTGATGATGCAGGTGCAGGATCAGCAACATCTGGTGCTGATGTGATATATCTAGTGTGTGTGTGTGTGTGTGTATCTGTGTGTATTTTTTCATTAGGAGGAAGTCACCATGCTCTAATTGGCATCTGTTCCTCCAAAACCCAGGTGGGGGGAAAGTGGATAATGCTCTTATGCTCTGGTATTCATAATCTCATTTATGCACATAGTGAGTGTGACACAGTTAAACAGCACCAAATCCTTTAAATAACTCATATACCATATCAGCACTGACCCTGGTGGTATATTTAGCTTCAGGTGGTCACATCACATTAGACACAACCCATACTGTTTCAACACATTCCTAAAATGCTTTAAGAGTCTGTGTTCTCATTTGCAAAAGGAATTTATGGCTCACAGTCAGTCTGCATTGATTGTTATTAGTAACAGCGTGTTCCCTCTCTTAGACAGGTTCTATATCATACATCTTGTCAGCGTCACAGAGGAAAAGAGCTCAGCAAACAAACAAGACAAATGATGATGCACAGTGTCAAGTCTACAGAATAACTACTTCCACTCGTAAATTAATACAAATAATTTGGTCTCCTTGAGTCGCAGGTTGCCTTTCTGTCTATTTACAATTGTTGGTAATTGGATGACAGCGATTAATGAATCCAGAAAAAATTCAAAAGCGGCTGATCAAAGGCGACTCAGTTTGAGAAATGTGTCAAAGCAAAGACGGGGATCTGCTGTTAAAACAACCCTGATGCAGCCAGTGGTCCAATACTCCACAGCTGTTCCCCAAGAATGTGCAGTACTGCAAGAGCCCAGTGTCCCAGCCGCTTACACAAACACACACACACACACACAGAACCTTGTATTTCTATTTTAGTGAGGACACTCATCGGAGGCATAATGCATTCCCTGGCCCCTTACCCTAACCTTAATTATCACAACTGCATGCCTAACCCTATCCTTATCCAAACCCATATTCTAACCCTGACAGCTGAGTCTCTATGACTTCACAGGGCATTACATTAACTTACATTGATTTTCTGGAGACTTGTTAGAACTAGCCTACCCATAACTTTTAACCTAACGTAACCTTAAAACATGTTATCACCTTAAAATGTAAAGCACACATGTCCTCATAATGTGACTTTGTAAACAGATATAGGTAATACCTGGACTACACACAGACACACACACACACAGACACACACACACACACACACACACACACACACACAAACACACACACACACACGGGCATACACAAGGTTAGGTCTAGTTGGGACACTGCAGTGTGAACAGATTAACCAAAAACATATCTCTAGCCTCATCGATGACCAGTTAATTTCTAACCCTGACCTGAACCACGATTCACATCTTAATCCTCAACCTCAACTATAGTACCTCAGAAATGATGTCTCATGAGGACCTCACTTTGGTCGCCATGAGTGTAAATGTTGGAGAAGGTCCTATACTGAGGCAACAAAAACAAGTGTACACACACACGCACACACACTCACTGTATCCACTTAAACACACACGCGATCATTCGAAGACCAGCAGACATTGACGTCAAAAACATAAACCAACCCTTCGAGCGGAACAAGTGTGTGTTCTACCCTCTACTGTGCATTGCATTGATACTTTACCACCAAGGCACAGGATCATGTTTCTTTACGTAGGCGGAGACAGCTGCCTGTCCTCCACTCATGTCAACATCCAAACCACTGCACCCAACAGGCCATACTGTGCAGCACTGTGTGGGCACCAGCTGTTTTTGCCAACTGAGTGAAGAGCCATGAGTAACAAAGTATAGGACAAAGTGCAGATGCTCATAATATAACCCATGACGACTATCACTGTGATGGGGACATATATCAAAAACACATTGAAGAACACCCTCTTGAAGCAGAGTGACTTTGTTTCTGAGGAAAGGGCAGAATATGTACGTTTATGGTCATTTTATTACTCATTATCAAATTCTGTCAAAGATATCAGCCATGCTTTCGCAATATCTTTTGATAAAAGAACATAAAAAAAATCACTGTATAACCATTACCCCTCATATCCTGCATTTGGCATTTTCTGATTCTATTAATTATTGAACTCTATCAAGGGGGTTTCACCTGTGTCTCTTTGTCAATTGTTCCAACAGCATTATACACTCGTGTAGTGATGGGGCCTGAAAGGAAACCATAAAAAAGTTTGTGCTGATAATGAAGAAAGGGAGGATGTAGGATTTCTTCAACTTTCTTAAACGATGTTTTATGACAATTACATAATTTAGGTCATCAGACCACCTCCTTATTTATTTTTTATACCTACTATGAGAACTAGGCAAGTGTGTGTATTGTAGGATTGTTCAACCTAAGCAGATATGTATATTAAGTCAGAGTATCTTATCCCAAGCTGCATTTGATTCTCCTCATCTCAGTTATTATTTGAATATGTATTATCTTTTCAGACTTCTGGTGTTACGGTGATGTCTGTTTTCTCTATTTACAAAGTTGTTTTTTATCAAACAAGAACTGTAATCATCATGAAGCAATCGTTAGATATCTACGTACCTAGTACCATCCCAGATATATGTGGTACCTTGAGGGCCTGGGTTTTATCTGCTACGGCTTTGTATCTCAGACATAAGGCAATTGTGGATTACTGGTGTCTGATAAACTTTTGAACCAGGAAGATTAAAGATATGCTGCTGTTTGAATATGGCATCAGCTTGTTTTGTTCCATCAAATGCTTCCTTGTGTGTTATGATATCTGAAAAAACCTTGAATTGTTATTATGCAGCTGGTGATTTTCATCGTGAAAATAATTCCCAAATCCAGATTCTATAATTGCACAGAGAAAGTATGGTTTTGGAGCTAAATCCCTCCTTCCTCTGATATCAACATGCTGTCACTCTAGTTGACCAGTAGGTGGCCCCTGACTACCATAAACTCAAACTACAGGAGGCTACAGAGTCATTGAGCTAAAAAGTTCAGCCTGATGACGTCATTGATCCATGAGCCATGAGCCATATATTATACACACAACATTACCTCAAGTCTAATTTACATCTGTGAGAAACTATAATTTAGAATATTCAATATCCATTTTTTTGGGCTTAAAGTAAAAAAAAGCTGCTCACAGAATCAACAATCAAACATTTTACCAATAATGCTATCAATAAGACTTTCAGTGTTGAGTATCAGAGGTTTCATTCACCCGTGCCATGACACACTCCTCTTACCCAGTTTCAAACACTTGACATGGCACATTGAAAATACACAAAAATCTCTGCAAGTATAGTTTTCTAAAAGAACTAACAATATATAAAGATTTTTTTAATTGTTGTGACTTTGAATTTTAAGAGAGGAACAGCTGCTGGAGTAACTGCAGATTTAACTGGTGTATTAGAAACAACAGTGTCAATATGTGGAGGCTTTGACAGGGAAATCTTTGGTGATGTGTGAGTAATGATTCAGAAACTTGACGTGAAAAGAAAACACAGTGTGACAATCTTTGATATCATTTTCTGTTCATGTACATTTGTAGCCGCCCTAGAGCTTTGGAGAAGTTTATCGTATTTATCATTGAAGTTCTCCCCTTGAAGACTCATGTTCTCCTGGGATTTTGAATGTCCTTAAGTGGTTTATGTCCACATTAAAGCATTTTATTGTATTCTATTTTCTGATTGTCCATGTTATTTTAATTTTTTGTATGCTATTTGCTATTGTGGTTTCATTTTACATAAAAATAAACTTTGCCTGACTGGACTTTGAAATCAAAAGGTTTTCTTGATTTATTTATTTCAAAGTTAATTTATTTCCACATGCGTTAACTTTAACTTTCCTGATTGTTTGAAACAGGTTTTTGTTCTTTATAAACCTCAATAAGAGGCTTTGATCAGACCCTCTTTATTTTCCCATTTATATCTAAAGACGTTGGTTAGAAGTTGGGAATTCAGGCTCCTTCTGGAATAAACTTTACATAACCTTTAAATACCCGCTCTGTGTCATTATTCATCTTTTTCAAGAATGTTTTGTTTTCTCATCTCAAACCCAATTGCTGGTGTTTTTCAGTGATGATGTCACTGCTACATTCCTTATTTTTTGACTTTATCAGTCTAAAGTTTTACATTTAGTCTTTTTGTTTCTTTCTGTCCACACTTTATTTTCTTGTTTATTTGTTTTCTAACTGTTGTCATCTATATTATTGTCTCTTTTACTGTTTAGTTTGAAAACATCTGTGACCCCATCGAAAACAAGATGAATCATATCAGGGGGGTTTATCTCATGACAGTAAACGTTTTACTACAATCTTTTACGTCCCTTTATTGTTAATAATTGAACACTATTAATTCATAAAACTGAAAAAGTTGTACATTGATGCCACTATGTGCTTTTCTATATGTGCAAAAGTGAATCCACTGAGACCTAGTAATATAAAAATCATGTGGAGAAATATTTTAAAGAAAATATAGCAACAATTTGAGCTGCATCTTTGAATGTGACCCTGTTCAAACATCATTTATGACTGTGATTTATGACTTTATCAATAGTGTCACGTGGGATGAATCATGATAACAAACCCATCACTATCTGGAAGATATCTTTTTTATTGCTCATTGATTCAATAATAAATTAAAAAAAAACATTCTATACATTCTTCATCATCAGAAGCTGCATAACAGAACGGCGTGCACTCCCCACCCCTCACCCCCAACACCCCCCACCCCTCCTCCTGCGCACCCCTGATCGATGCACTGCAAAGCCTGATGGGTATTGAAGTCTTCACCACACAAAGAGGGGCCGTGTTTGCAGCGCCCACAAAGGGGCTGCAGCTTCAACAGAGAACTACCGGTACCGAGATGCCCGCGGACCCGGTGGTGTTGGTTTCCGGTAAGTGCGTAAAAATGTGTTCGGAGCCCGGCGCTGCCGGACGGAGAAGAGAGTGATGAGAGGAGAGGAGGAGATGACCGGGCTGCTATTCTTACATCTGCTGTATCAGATCTGAGAGGAGGAGGCAGAGGAGGAGGGTAAGTCAGAGGGGAGGAGGGGTGAGCTCATGTGGGAGAGAGAACCAGAGTTTGGAGGGAAGGAGATCCGTGCGCACACAATGCGCTGAAGTTGCGCTCTAACTTGGCTGCTGCAGGGAGCAGATATCACCACTGATGTGCACGGTTACGATGCTGTGTCTGAATATTTTGGATCCTCCGCTGATCCTCTGCTGCGTGTTTCTGCTGCATGTGTCTGCGGAATCACTGCAGCTGCTTCTCCACCTGGAAACTCCATTTTCCACGGATGCTCTGCAGCAGCAGAGGCGTCCACGCACAACAAAGGATGCGTGTGACATCCGGGATGTAGCTGGTGTGTGTCGATGTTTGCACCTCCAGGCTATATGTCGATTTTCCTCTACTAGTGCGTGTTACATGTCATTATGCGAACGTATTCTCCAAACCTTTACACGAACCAGCTGCTCTGTACATGTCATGTGATCTGTAGTTGTCAGATGATGATGCTGATTGCATCTGAAAAAACTATGAGTTTCTGTACATGTTGAATTTGTACTTTTGAATGATCCTTCCAGAGGCGGATCCAGGGAAGGACAGGATGCACTGGCCCCATCTGATTGGCCCCTGAAGTGCCCCTGTCCTATCAGTAGTCTTTTGTTAGTCACTTACTAACAATACTAACATTAAATAGGACAATTTGTTAAGATTTTTTATTTTCCAAGCTTTTTTTAAAGTACACAATGTGCTTGAACAGAGAACAATGTTCAATATATTCATATATGTATATATATCTATATGTTTATATATGACTACTTTTTAGTTTAAAAATGCATCAGCTCTGCAACAGATTTGTCTGGCATCCACACCACTCCGGAGTTTTTGAGATGCTAAAACAGAGAAGTTTAGAAAAGCTGCTATGGCTGCGTTTTAGTCTGGACGGGCAGAAACTGACATGTTTGGAAACAATGATGTTGACACTCTCTTACTTATTGGGTTTTCTCACCCACGTCGTACCCTTTGCTGATTCATCAAGGTCCTATCGTGACCCCTTTCCAAAAGAAGACAACTAGCATTAGCCTCGCTGACCAGTGTAAAAATGCAACATGGATGATCAAGTACAAGCTATTGTGCAGTTAAAGTCTACATTTTACGGTTGTACAACTGCTTACGTGAGGAGGAGACTGTTATTCAAGTAATTCCTGTGTACACATGCCCATACCTTGCAGTTTACACTGGTACAAGCATGCCTAGTGTACGTGAGTTGTCATGTGAAGGTGTGTTAGTATGGACTAAATATGTATGGAGCGGGATTAAAACTGATATGGAGCCAAAATGGTTGTATTAACAGAGAGTGTTAAAGTTTGAAAATGATGTGGCCATATAATTAGCATCCTTATCTGACGACAGATGGGACCTCTATACGTTTATGGTCCCTGATTTATAAAAATCCTTGAACTCCCACTGAATACTGCTATTTGAATTGAAGTTTTAGAGCTTTATTTTTAGGTGTAGAGTTTTTCACATGCCTTCATTTAAAGAAAGCCACTAAAACCATCTGCTGGAAAGTAATAACTATCTAATTAGGCATGAACTTTGTGGTTTTAAATGCGTGCAGCTAGGTTGTGTGACCCATCAGCAACAATGATAGAGCCATGTATAGGAAACACCATTTTATTTACTTTAGGAGACCAATCCAGATTTGTCTTAAATCTGCATGTCTACAAAGCTGCTTTCACACATGCACAGAACTCAAGATAATCTTCTGACATTCCCCAGAGTTTCTCCTGCCAGCCCATTAGGAAAAACTCCTCCGGAGGATTCACTGCAGGCGACTGGGCTTGTTGATGATGGTTTTAACATGTGACGGATGCAAAACTGAAAAAAAGCCTTTTAAGAGTACAATTATCCCAGGGTGAAAAGCAGTGCTATACACGTAGAAGATATCGACGTAGATGTCAACTTGAAAGATTTGAGAGCTTTTCGTGGGCCGACACTAGTGTTGATATCCTGTGAACAAAAACTGGTGATCGCAGTAGAATTTTGCATATGTAGCCCATTCACACATGCAAATATTTCAGAGGGGAACCTTTGCCTCCTGCTCAGTTCCAAGGGAGGTGATTAAAACATTCACCACCTGTGGTGAGTCAAATCGCAGGGTGGCTTTGCATAGAGTTCAACTCGGTGAACTTTGACCTTCGTGCTGGCTTCACGTTTACGTTTGTGTTACCGTACCTCATATGTTACATCCTGCCACTGCCTGCTGCACCATCCCTCACATGCAACACTGGAAAACGACTGTGTTGTTGTGAACACAGAGAATCCCCTGCTGCGTTGTTCATGTGTGAAAGGCGAGAAAGTGCGAACCCAGTCCTCTTGAGTTCGTGTCTGAAAGCAGCTCGTGTGTGGCAGCCATTTCATCCCAGGATTTGTTGAATGTGGGAGAAAAGTTAAGAAATGTCGGTAGTTTAACTAATTGAACAAAATGTTAGAATGTATTTCAACTCGTGCCTATACAACGAAAAGCAGAGTTATTATTATCATCATCAATTTATAATAACAATAATAATCATCACCGTCACAATAAACAGAGAAATTGATAATCCCGCTCATATTCTTTTCCTTAGCTGTACGTTTGACCGTGCTTTTATTTTGAAATTTGTAACCGGAAGGTGTCTTGTCCACCGAGGCTGACTTTACGGGGGTCTCCCGTTCACTCAGAAGCATCTTGAGTCTGTCCGGAGGTAGAGAGACATAGAGACACACAGTGACAGAGAGAGAGAGAGGTCTCCTGCACCGGGACTATAACGACTCTTTTATTCTGGAGCTCTTCTCGCCGTAGGTTCGAGTCCAGCTCGCAGGTAAATGTTGTCTCACCTCAGCGCAGAGCGGGCGGAGTCACAGTAAATCAGTGTGATCCGGGCGGTACCGTTAATATAAACCAGCGCTCCTTCTAGATCTAATAATTAGGACGTGTAGGGTTGTTGGGGCAAAGATGGAAGACGTGATTGTCTCTGATCCGCCTGCTCCTCTTCTCTCTGCGCCTGCATGGCTCTGCTGCTGAAGTGTCAAAAGAGAGATGGTGAACGTTTCTTATTCATTATAAGAGAATATCATTTTTTAATTGAAGATGCTATAGAGATAAACAGTCATTCATTTAGTGTCAATTAAAGAGCAGTTTCTGTGATGAAGCTTTTCAACAGGCAAAACAAGTCAAAGGCAAAAATTATATTTCTTATATTCACATTATAAATTATTATGATTTATTTTTGAATCAGCAGAAAATCATATTTGATGAACATGTGATAATTCAGTAAAAGTGTCAGTTAAAGAGCAATTTCTGTCTGAAAACCGATGAGAGCTCTTTATCCAACAGGCATCAAAAGTGTTCATCTCTTATTAATATCTCATCTCTTTTTTATTGTTGTTTCGTGTTTATTCTATTAACACTAATTATCTTGTATCCCCTCCTATACCATAACTTGTATTTCTTCTGCTTCCATCAGCCCCAGCATGGGCCGGTGGTGTAACCCCCCCCCCCCCGAAGTTAATTTTCTCCTCTGGTTAAAAAGGGCAAATAAAAACGCTGCCTCACGTTTCCTCTTCCCATTGGAAGCCTCCCCCTCCTCTTTAATGGGCCATTAGGAGGCAACCAGGATGGTTAAGCTGTCAGCCGGGCCTGATTGATTTGGTCAGACCACAGATGAGACTGATCTGCGCCTGAGATTCCTCCGGTGCTCTCTGCCTAAACCGTTCCTCCTCCACCCCCCACCCTCCCTCAGGCGGGGGAGGTCAGAGGTGGGCATCCTTGCTTCCTCAGAGCTGGAGGTGCTGAATGTAAAGCGTGTGGTGTGGTGAGGTGAAGCTGCACTGTGTTGCAGTGCAGTCCTGCTCACACAGGTGGTGGAAGAGAAAAAGTTTAGCAAAGGCGAGGAGGAGCGTGTTTTGGGCTCCTTTTTTGTAAAAGTGGGCCACTGGTCCCTGCGGTGAGTGGTGCTTTTCTGGGGCAGGCTCGGTGATGACGATCACCCGGCCCGGATTGGAGACACACACCCTCGTCCGTCCATTTCTGAGAGTGGGTGCAGAAACTGTGCAGCTCGGATACAAACGGCACAAAGCAAACTAACAGTGCTCGTCTGACTTCTGAATCTCTCAGTGGGTCCTCTCTGGAGCAGGCAAGTATGGTTCAGCTCCGTCCACTCAGTAAATCACCATTTGTCTTCGTAAGAACTTTAATTGTAAGGAAGTCAGTTTCAGACAGAGCTCTCGAGTGTTGGTTGATGATTTTTTATCCACTTCCTTGGCGGCTTTCTGTGCCCAAATCCAGGCGCTAGCCGGAGTCAGGAGCGAACTGCTATTTAAAGATGGCATAACCCAGCCAGCTGCTGCCGTTTCCACTCCCGTTGTAATTGAATCAGCGCTAGTTGTGCTGTGCCAGTGCGGAGGGTGTGTTTGCGCGTCCCACAGAAGATTATACAGTCGGGACTTGTCGGCGGACTGTAACGGCCACTCTCACGTACCTGATTGGTGGCTCCTATTCCTGGTGAGTGCTAGTCTGTGTGACAGGAAGCCGGGAAAGGAGAGAACATTCCAGCCGGTATCATCCGTCCTCAAACTATCATCCAGGAGGATGTGGGATCTTTATGTGAGTTTCTAACAAGGTGGTTTGTGCTGATTGTAGAGTTGTGACGAGACAATAGTATGTGTAGTGACGGCTGAAACTGAGGTTACTTATGGCTTTGTCTCTACGTTGAAGCTCTAACCTGGTGTTTTGGTTTTTAATGGCTTGTGTTTGCTCAGGACAATGAAGGTGACAGAGGTCCTGCACAGTTTGGACAGACTCATCACTACCGTATTGACCCGCTCCGCTCTGCAGGGAGAGGGTTAACAACTCAAAAAGGGAACTAGGCCATCAACGTCCTTTTTTCACGGGCACATTCTGAGACTGGCTGCGAGCCTGACACTAACAGCAAGTGAAACAGAGCAATATTTGATTGTGGAATGCATCTGCTCTAGCCAGCTCTTCTTTTTTTCTTCTCCTTCCCCTCCCCTTTTGACCATGTGTGTTGTAGTTGACATGCAGCGAGGCAAGCAAGTGTTGCGCATACATAACGTGTGACGCTGCGGCTGAAGCGGTGGAAAATTCTCTGTGTTTGCAGCTCTGCCCCCTCGCTGCCTCAGAAATCTGCTCGTATATACCTTTTAGACGCTGAAGATATTTTCTCCTCCCGCTCGGCTCGATTATTTTTCAGTCATGCAGCCAAGGCTGTGGCGGGAGTGTAAAAAAATTCATCTCCAACCACATACATCTGACTCCTCTCAGCGGTGCAAGGGTTTTCCTCCAGTCGGTTTATTCTTGCACAAAAAATGACAACGCTTTAAAGGCCATTTCTATGTGGCTGTAGGCAGCTTTGTTGACCCAAGTGTCGTTATTCATGCTTCTTCTTTTGATAGGGAAGTTCACCTTTGACCCTGCCAGTAAATTGCCCTGCAAGAGGAACATAGAAGAATACAGAAAAGCTGAAAATGATTGTACGGTTAGGAAATCATTTCTGAGTTTTACACGCCTGGCTTGTGTATGACAATGCTGTACAAAAACACATGTGACAGATGGCGGGATATTGATCACATCAACAGTTCAGTGATGGGGCCTCCCTTGGCTTCAACTTTGAAACCATCACAGAGTCTACAGGGCTGCTGCTCTTGTCTCCTATCTCTTATCTCTTGGAAACAACATTAGCCTGCAAGACGCTGCAGTTAGTTCGACTTTAATTCACTGTAATGTCAGATGATACATATGGAGCTCTGGCAGAAGGATTACTTAGTGATGAAATCCATCAGAGAGAGAGGAACTGGAGGAATTCAGTGGTGTCGTTAATGGTTGGGGTTTGGGTCACTTATTTATTTTTTACTGGTGCATTAAACAGCATTTTCTTTTTTCTCACAAATCTCTGCTTGTTTTTCAACTGCACCAAAAGATCTGGTTTTCATTGTGTGGCATTTTATTGTAAACAATGGATCATTTGCTGTCCAGTGTGTAATGATGCTGGTGAGCGTAGAATTTAGAGCTGCAACTAGTAATTATTTTAATTAAATTGTCTTTCATTTGATTTATTTTTATTAAGGGATTCATATTTTCTGTAAATGAATAGTAAGTAAGAGTACAGTCAAATCCATACAATTCCCTTGAGCCTAAGTTGCTAAACAATCATTTTACAGTGATGTAAAAGCTTAGACTGTAAAAAGATTGACAACCCCCTGGTGGCTGGTATAGGTATAGCTCAGGTCAGTATAGTAATGATCCTAAACCCAGTGTCCTCCATCTCAGTGGTTAAGTTAAAGTATGGCGAACAGGTTTAAAATAGTAATTAGGTGCTTTAAAAATAGTGTCATTATAGACAGCTAAGACTGATTCTTGATTGGTCGAGTGCGTATATAGGCGGGACCTTCACACCAAGGTTCCAGTCAGCGTTCACTGCTGCGTAGACTCCAGCTCCAAATGACAAGACCACAACAACAAGACGGCAGCACACTTATCTAGGATATTTTGGCCTAATGTTTGTGCAAGTGGAGATGTATTGTCAACAGAAAGACAGCAGATATGATAACTGTACATTTCGTCATTTGACAGATGCTTTTATCCAAAGCGACTAAAGGACAAGAATTTCAAAAAGGGTATCAACTAAGGGAATCAGCTAGAGCAGGAAATAATGCTTATTTTCATTAATTGTCTTTATTGATTATCTTTAAGTTGTAATGAGACATCTTTACATGTCCTGTTTTTTATTCTCATCAGCAGTCACAAAACAAGCAGACAGACATTTAGTTTCAAATCATGAATGGCAAAGAAATGCCAAGAAAATCTTTAGTTTTCTTAAAAATAACGAAAACATTTATAATAACTGCAGTCAACTGATTAATAAATGAGTTTGAGGTTTCAACACTACAAGAAATGGCTCATTCACTGCTTTCAGTTGTCTTTCCATCCGACCTCATTAAAATTCATAACCCTTCTTTTTCTTTAGAAATGAGCAGAGCAGATATTGATATTTCCATCCTTTAAAATGAAGTAGGTCCAATATGTGCTGCATGAATTAAAGTCTGAAAGTTTCTCTGTTTCTTTTATGAGAACCTTTCTGTGTTCCATTCTAAGATGGGCACTGGAAGTTCTGCTCATAAAAGCGTCTGTCTGTTGGTGCCAACCTCGGTCTCGTCTCTGAACTGAGTCAAATCACAGCTGACTCTGTTTCCTCCTGCCCGGCTGCTGTCTGCCCCGGGGCTCTCAGTCTGCCCTGACTTTCTGACACTGCCGTCCAAACACAGGAAAATCATCTGCCTCCGTTTTAACCTGTAGTCAATTAATTTAAGTATTTGTGAGGAGCATTTAACCGATCTTTGGTTCCTGCAACATAGCCTAGTTCCACTTTAATCCCAAATGAAAACTCCTTATCTTATAATCCTTATTTATTGAAAAACCAGATATGGTGCATTTGTATGGTGTTTCTCCACATCTAACACAAGCCAAGTTCACCCATAGCTTCTCTATGCAGCACTTTTTCTATACACACCTTCATATACTGTCGACACAGCCTTCAGGGGCAATTTGGGGTTCAGCTTCTTGCAGTTGTTACAATTGTCCAATAGTTGTCAGTTGTGGTGGTAGATTCTGCACGGTTAAGAGTTACAGTTGTCCTGATTTAGTTTGAAAGAGTAAAGGTAGAGGTGATGCAGAAAAAGATGTAGCATGAACTCTGTCCTCATACCTGTAAAATAATGACATCACCAGTTTACTTTGAAGGAGATTGAATCAAAGCTGCGGGTCAATATCACATCAGCATGTTTCCAATTAATTCCTTTATTATTTCTCAGTAGTAAACCCAGTTTCTAAGGAATTTTCTTTACCAGAATAGTCGATATAACTGAAGTAATAAATAAATGATCCACTTCAGATTTTTAAAAGGTTTAGTCTGTGGTTATGAAGTGATGCAGTTAATTATGTTGCTGAAGTGTTTCGAGGAGAGTGCTTCAACGTTTTTCAGTAGTTCAGCACCAGCATGATGTCCTTTATTGTCCCTCAAGAAATGAAATATCGTTACACCAGACCTGTTCAAGGTAGTGACACTTAAAAGAAGTAGCGAGTGTGTTCACGTTAGTTTCCGAAGGTTTGATTTTGTCCCTCTGGCTGTGACACCCATACACAGCGCAGTCGTAACACGGCGGCTCTGCTACATGACAGATAGAGAGGCTGGAGGGTTTTGTTAGCATCTTAAACTGAGGCTTGATGTCATCATTGTGCTGCAGGCTTTTATAGCCCATTTACACCTTGTAGTATGCGCTATAAAAACAATAATAATAATACATTGCATTTATATAGCTCATTTCAAAATTCTCAAAGATGCTTTACATATTGAAGGATAAAATAAGGAAACAGTCAATATCTTTAAAACAAAGAAACAGATGAGAATGACTCATTCACTGCATCGTACATGTCACACTTGACTTGGTTTAAATGGGGTCTTAGTCTTCAAGCCAAGACCTTATCATTGAGATATGTTGGTGGGTTTTATTTCAGCAGGGATTCATCCAGGTTTCTGGGAATCCATGGTTCCCCATTACCCTTTAATCTTCTTCTTGGCAGTGCTCATGACTAACTATGAGCTCATCTCTTTTTGTTTTTCTTCTCTAGAGGGGTCAAGATGGAGGGAGCTGCCGTCATCAGGAGACCTGAATGAGTACTGCTATACCGCTACCACCCCCGCCCCATCCATGACTTTCTACTGTGTATGTATGCACTTTAAATATATATAAATATATATATAGATAGATATACTTCCAAAAACCTTTCCTGGTGCTATGGTTATTTATGATTTCAGAATAGGGATGGTCGATACAACTATATCAACAACTGTCACAATATCATTTTCATCAGTTGCAACATAACAAAAGTCCAAATATATATGGATAGTATCTTATGCATTGTATGGTTGCTGTGGTAGCCAGTGTTACCGGTGTTAGATAGTGTTCAGGCACATACTGATTACATAGACTTTTTTATAGTCTGGCACTGCAGTTATAAAGCTGTAAAGTCAAAGCTAAACTCACTCAGGAGCAAAAATCTGTCTTATAATAATGCGACATTTATAGTGATAATTATCGATACCGACTGATATGAACATTTTTATTCTTGATTTCATTTTTGGTCATATTGTCGAGCCTTCTGTCCCAAACCCTGACTGTAAAATTACCTTTACTCAAGTCAAAAAAAAAACATCACTCACTTACATCTCTCTATTACAATCTCTCTCTCATAACCACAGTCGTGAATTTATCGAAATTGACATAAACTGTATAAGTTATTCCAATTATCAGCTAGTGTCAAAAGGCCAATGGAGCAGTTAATCTAGTATAATAAGAAAATGGGATTTCTTCAGCTAAATAATAAAATGACCAGTGTGGTTTGACTTTTAATTTAACTTGAGAATTCCTGGGTTTATCTTTGAATGGTTCACATGCTTTTATACATGGGGAAGATTAATTAGGGTTTTCAAGGAATTTTGAAAACATTAAGCAGTAAATATCTCAACTCGGCACCACAGAGTTGATGTTTTTTTCTTTTTGAAGCATTGCTTGCAAAAAAGAGCCTCAGTAAAAACCAACTGACCACTGCGACTCCACTGGTTTAACAGAAAGTGTCTCCACTCTCACTCTGAACTGGTGCTGATTTCTCAAACTGTTGTTTTTCAGGAACCGTCGACTTGTGTGCCTCAAACTCTGTAATGGAAAATCGTGGTGAGTACCAAGTTGCTCGTTGTGGTTTGTTAAGTGCAGTGTTAATGCTGCGGGCAGAGCTGTAGATCCACTCATCTCGCTGTACATTTCACTGTGTTTATGAGAGCTCTGTCTGGCCTCGCACGGTTTATGAGCCACTCAGGACTACAGCCATACACATATCTTCTCAATCCTGAGTCTGACTGAGGATCAGTTTCCCCCACTTGCCGCTCGGCTTAGCGTGTGTGTATATATAAATGTTTTTTAATCATTTTTTTAATGATTGACGTTTTTATATAACTGTAAAATATCAAGCCGCAATTGCATTTCTTTGTCTTACGGACTTGAAAACGACATCTTTTAATATATTGACCATCTGTATCAGAAATGTCTTACTACCTATTATAGGCATTAATAACCCATATTGGTCTGGCTCTAGTTTCTGGTTAAAACCACCTGCAGCTCCTCAGTGAGAAAGTTTCCTTTTGTAAAAATGTATCTGCCAAAATGTGTTTTACGTTAAGCCATTCATTGTGGTTGTCACTATCACTCACAATACTTCCTGTGGCTTCTTCACAATAAAAGCCTTACACAATGCTAAACACTACAAAGCTGTGAAAAACATCTACATCTACTTCAACATGTTGTAAAAGTGTGGGAATTGCACCAGCAGAATGTGGCAAGTGTGTGAATGTACCACTTATCTGCTTTGCTACCAAAAACCGGCGATGACTGTGGCAGCTCTACAGCTCGCTGTCACACTTTTTGATCCATTATATTTATTGTATTTTAATAAAATGTCCTTGAACAACATACTTAAGAAATAACTGATTGTTCTCTCTCAGGTCCGTACTCACTTCATCCTTTGATGCTTTAGCACAATCAGAAAATGCCCGTATACATATTAAAACTCTCAGCCTATACAGAAATATGTATCATTCTGTATTGATAAAACATGTTTGAAAAAGGCTTGATTTTCTGCCATGAGTGAGACTCATGTCTGGCAGGGCCGCGTATGTGCACATACGTTCATGTGCACCTGGCTCAGCTTGTCTGCCTGCTGAAGTGGCCTGGCCCAGTCTCTTATCCAGGTCAGGCCAACAGGTTCTGGACTCATGTGGATTGGCTCCGCTCTCTTTGGAAGGCGGCCCGATTTGAAGGCTGTATGTGGGGCAAGGGGAAGAGGAAAAGGAACGCTGCCGAACCCACAAGCACACACAAGCTCTCCGTCTTTGTAAACAGATTGAGATGCAGCCAAATGCTCGGAAAACTCTGATCTATCCAGGCGTAATGACAAAGCTTGATTCTGTGGATTCCTCTGAAGCAGAGTCTGACAAGGATTTCTGAAGAAGCTCAAGACCGCAAAAAAAAAGCTTTTATTCAGGGGTCCAGGACACACACTGCTGGTCTCGCTTTTAGTTTCTTGCTTTGCCGTTTTAAATAGGGTCAGCTTTCCTTGGCAAACATGTTTCAAAGTCATGCTAATGATACCAAACACCCCTCATATTGTGATAAGCGGCTTGGAGATGTGCATAAAATGATGTCTGGAGGCATGAAGGGATGTGAGCAGCATGATAAACACTGAAAAACACTAGTGGTACTAATATTGACGTGCATACAGGACATAGAAACGCCAGATTGACTTGTGATCCTTCTTTTCTCTTTTTAAGTTGTCATCGTAGCAGCTGTATTGCTGCAGTTGATCCATGTTTGTTGTTCACGCTGACATGTAGCGATGGGGAAGCATCTCAGCCACACTTGACCTTTATGCTGCTCAGACAAAAGGTCACTTCTCCGATCTCGTGTAGTATTTCTCCTGATTGAGGCTGTTGATTGAAATCTCTCCAGTTATTTTTCTCTATCCTTCACAATCTTCACTTATTTAAGAGTGAATTCTTTAGATGCCATCTATAGATCTATCATCTGTTCTCCTTGTCAGCTCTAAGAAGAGAATAGATGCTGTTAACAGTGTGTTAGACACAAAAGGTTTCAGTCCAAACAATGTGGTCTCAGTTCTGGTTTTTAGTCTGCTTTTTTTCAGAGGTGGTTTTGTCCTTCTATTGTTTTTCTCGTTTGGCCTGAATCATTGTTGTGATCATGTAACCCTGTGTTCTCCAGAGACCGCGCCATCATAGCACGCATCACATCATACATATATTATTGGACGTGCACATTGCACCACATGCCGCAGTAAACGCATGAAATTGAAAACATACTGTATCTCGTCTTTCTCCCTGGAATGGTAGGCATCCCTCTCTCTGTGAACGCTGACCTGTGCTGTGAGCCAAGGAGGGAGGGTCGGGGAGAGAGGGGGAGCGGGAGTCCTGCTCCTAGAGAGGGAGGGAAGGTCTTAAGGAGATTGCGAGAGGGAGGGACCGAGGAAGGTCTGAAGTGAAAAGCGTAGAAGAAGGACAGACGAGAGGAGAGGAGAAGAAGAAAGACAGGAGATCGGGGGACAGTGTAGAAGGAGGAGGAGGGCAGGTGTTGCTGCTGATCCGCCTGGTGTAGTGTGCACATATTTGGGTGCAGGACAGGTCGAGGCCCCACAGGGGCTGGATCATGGGACAGAGCCTTCGTGTGGAGACTCCAGCTCAGGACCCACAGAAACACAACGATGGCGGTGAGTTTCTGGACTCACTCTTGCACGTATTGTGTACTGTGCACACTTATGCATTCCATTCTTATTAATTGTTAGCTTTTCGGGGCATTTTAACTTAAAGGAGAAATCAGGTTTTGGAGATTATATAATCAACTTTGCACAGTCTCCTCTCCCACACTCTACCCCCTTCACTTTCACCACCACAAGGAATGTTAAATCACCAGGATCACGTGGATGAATCTCAGCTGTGTTTTCACACTCTCGTGCTCTTATTTTCTTATCTTAATGCACAGGAAGGTGGATTTAGATGTTGATATATATTTTATTTAAGGTAATTTGTGGATCAGTTTGGATCCACTTAAGTATTCCCCCTTTTAATTATTACAGTTTCAAGTTGTAAACAGACCCGATTCATCTTTGATCAGAGGTCATCACTTTGAACATGCAGAAAGTAGTGAATTCAAAATGTTTTTACATTAAGTAACATACTATAATTGGATTTATTTGACTTAGTGGTCAATGATTGACTGATTTTCGGCCTACAAGATTCCACAAGAACCAATCACTCAGATTATAAATACTCTGTACAGTCAATTAAATGGATTAAATTTCATAATCTGCCTAAGATTAAGGTTATAATAGGATGTGTTTCCCAACCATTGCACCCCATGGAAGCAGGTTTCTTATGTAAGTGATCGGGATTGGGACGGCATGGCTCGCATATTGGATAAAAGCCGGGGTCCTTTTTAAAACAACAGTTTTCTTTGACCACGTGCTCACCTGACCACGCAGCCGGGACTCACTGAGTCATGAGGTCAGAGGTGAATCTGGCCTCTCTGGGACGTGCACGAGAGGGTGAAAGGTGGGCGTGGCTTCAGGATGAGGCTACGTCAGAGGAACACACGAGCACAGTGTCACACACACCCCTGTGTTTCCTGACTGGTATGCCTTATCTTGGCAGGCCTCCTGATTACAGAGCATGACTCCTGGAAATCTGGTTGTGGAATTGTTCTGAATGGAAACTTGTTTCATCATCAGTGAGAATATGATTCAGTCTCTGAGGTGTTTCAGTGTTGTACCCTTCAGCACCATGTTTCCACAAGCTGTACAGTTGACTGTGTTATTGAGGGGAAGAGGCTGTCTTTGTTCTCGGTCACAGTATCAGGGTGGAGTGCTGTTTCCTCCCTGTGTTTCCAGCCCCCCCCCCCACTTCCATAAGCCCTGTACTTTTTCCACTCTTTTCTAGTTTTTTTTTTTTTTTTTTTACCCCTTTCCCACAGTCACACACAGCTGTAGTGCCACCACACACCAGACCTCCTCTCACCACAGCTGAAACAATGACATGTTGGAGAGCGTGTATCTGTGAAGAATTGTTTTCAGTGGATCCACAGCTCTGTTGAACGTGATAATTGAGTTGGATGCACTGTACTTAGTGACTGTGTGTGTGTCTGTCGGATGATTGACATGTTTTACAATCGGACAACCCTGGCTAATGTACAAATCTTCTGAGGATACGTCCAGTCATCTTTTCAAGCGGACGCCTGCTGCATGGGCCGAGCCTGCTGCGATCATCATCTCTGCAGTGCCTCTCGGAGCGTGCGGGCCTGGCACAGTCGGCTCTTATCCTGCTTCACTGGCTTCAGCTGAGCCGCAGTCTGCTGTGTGAGAACCTCAGACTCTGGATCGCCGGGAAGCTGTTTTAAAGCAACGTTTAATCTGGATGTTATGGCAGCTGGTCTGAATCCTCAGATCTATACGTTGCCAAGATAAGCTGGATTTCCATGGTGCGGACTTGTTTCTTGAACCCGGACCCTTTCTGTTGTCGTTTCCTGCAACTCGAACCCTTCTGGGATTTCTCTTCCTTGTTGATTTGATTGTTGGGATTTACTGTATACAGGACAGTTGGTTATTTGGGGTTGACAAATGCTCTCTGCTTCCCCATGGCATGCTGCTTCAAGTCCCACCACCATGCAAGCTGGACGCTTAACACCCCTCTTCCAGGTAGATGAGTGGTTTTTGAAACTTTTCAGGTATTTCAGAGAAAAACTGGAAGCGCTGCATGAACTTGTGTATTTGAGGTTTTAGAGACGGTCGGGTTTTTAAACACTATGTAAACATTTAGGTCAAATTTGACCCTGCCTGCAGCTCTGAGGTAGTCATGTGCAGAAGCGGTAAAAGACTCAGTCCTGCAGCTGCAAAAATAGATTTGAATCCAGTGTCAGCTGCCATCCACCAGGCTGAAAAGTCCCCCAGCGAGATACTGTAACCCTGCCCACTCTAACTTCCTCTGTGTGAGTCAAACAAAGAGTCAGGACCAGGAATGATTATGTGTTCCTGTGTTCTTTATTGCACTGCTAAATAAGCTGTATCAGTATTGTAAGCACTGTGTGAAGACAATATTGTGGAGAAGACGTGTGTGTGTGTGTGTGTGTGTGTGTGTGTGTGTGTGNAGTGAGTCAAATCAAATCTCTGTGGAGATACAAAGTTGCACATTTACCAAAAAGAAAAACATAAAACTGCCAGTTTTCTTCAAGGGAGTTTGGCATGAGCTCAAACCAGAAACAGAACAACCTGGATCTTGTGTTATTTCAGTTTTTTGTTTAATTAAGAGACATATCTTTGATACACAACTGAGGACATCAACTGGTGATCACTAACATCTGCTACTCCTGGTGGTAGGCATTAATTAGTGCAGTAGAACATACAAGGGATATTCTCCATCGTGTCCTGTGTTCTTAAATGGGACAGTGTTTAGTTTAAAAAGGCATAGAGGTAATGATGTCTGATCAACAGAGCGGATCTCATGGCTTCATAGTACTGCCATACAAGCCAGTAGCCAGTCAGATTTACCTTTAGCCTCAGTATACCCTCAAGTTCGGCCTTTATCATTGTTTACAAGGCTAAAACACTTGATGACGCTAAAGTGCACAATTTAAGTTATGTCCCTAACATCCGCTGGTGGACGTTGGTAACTTAAATTGTACACTTCGAAAAGTGCAAGGGACGTTCACCATCTAGTCCTACATTCTAAACTTCACTTCTGCCTAAAAAGCATCATGTCCAGATAATCATGTAACATCAAATAATAGTAGGCCTTGTGTTCATTTGTTCATCCAGAGGCTATGGAAACCATCCTGTCCTTCAGTAAAAACGCAGAGGAGATCCTGAGAAGGAAGAAGGTTCACCGGGACCTAATTTTCAAGTATCTGGCCAAGGAGGGGGTGGCGATGGCCCCCAACAGTGAGAAACACCAGCTGGTGAAGAGGACACTGGAGCTTTGGTCGTCAAGGAAGGTACACATGGACGGGAGGTCAAAACACTCAGCCCTAACATGAGAAGCATGGCCTAATACTACTGCATATAGAGACCACAGTATAACAAAATCCCTAAAGATGGAGAAATTATCTGGCATTCATTACATTTTTAAACAGGACACTCAGAGAGTGCATATCTCCACAAAGGCCCAACAGCCCCCTTATGAAACAAGATTTAAATTTAGATCACAATTTTTATTTGGCTCTGCATCAAATTGCAGACACTGATAAATATCAGTTCCCAAAACATGTTTGTTTTTATCAAGATCCATGACTTATTCTCTGAGAAAAGTTACTACACATATTTGAAAAAATATCTATCTCAATATTAGAGTAAGGAAAAAACAAATCCCTGACTCTGCCCCCTGGTCCAGATCAACACCAAAATGTAATGGGTTCTTTCCTGACCCACTCAACCAAATGAAGAGGTAATCTGTTCAGTAGTTTTTGCATAATCCTGCACATTTTCAGACAAACAAACACAAATGAAAACATAATCTCTTTGGCAGAAGTAATAAATCTGCAGCTAGAAAAATGTCCTGGTTGTCTGTGTGGCATGTGTTACTGGAGCACGTCTACTGACAGGTACTTGAGGTATTAATTGTTTACTAACTCCTCATTCCTTTAAGGCCGTGGTTGATAAAAGCCCTCAACAAGAGACAGATGGGACCAGAGAGAAACAGCCCTCAGGGACATCATCTGATACCCTGAGCTTGAAAGCTGAGGTGGATTTTGACCCTCAGGTCCTCGGCAAGCAGTTCTGCCAGTGGTTCTTCCAGCTCCTGAACAGCCAGAACCCCTCACTGGGCCAGCAGCCTCAGGACTGGGGGCCGCAGCACTTCTGGCCAGATGTGAAGCTGCGTCTCCTCGCTACGTAAATTTATTTGTATTTATTTGCAGCATTTTTCCGATTTAAGTTTTCTTACAACTGAACTGAAGATGTTAACAGAGGGAAAATCAACCTGACATGTCAAAGCTGTGTCTCTCTTTGTCTTCCTCAGAGCGGGCAGTGAACAGATGGATGAGTTCCTAGGTGCTGAACTGGTTAGCCTTCGTCTCCTAGCCTTGACAAAGGAAGAGTGCCTTCTCCTCAGCCCCAACCTGGAGCCCCATGGCTTCAAGACACTTGCTTCCCCCCATGGCTTGGTGCTGGTAGCCGTGGCCGGGACCATCCACAGAGATGCAGCCTGCCTGGGCATCTTTGAGCAAACATTCGGCCTCATCCGCTCCCCGCTGGAAAATAACAGCTGGAAGATCAAGTTTGTTAACCTGAAGATCAGAGGGCAGGATGCTCTGGGCGGGACGGAGGCGACAGCGCCTGCTTTGACTTACAACTCCAGTGAACTGCAGCTTCTCTGCAGTTGATGACACTCCAACTTGTCTAAATTGCACAAACAAAAAAAAAACAAGCTGTTGTTTTCAGAGACTCAAACAAGGTACTGGTCCAAACTGCTCTCTTTACTTATATTTACCAGTGAGGTCAGGTTGTACAGGTAGGTGGACACTGGTGCATCTAAATCTTCTTGGGAGATATATTGGTGATGTAATATAAAAACATTTTTGCTTTAAATATACTGTACCATGATGCAAAGCATATCTTGCTTTTTGTTGGCCTGTGCCTTTTGTAAGATAAACTATAAATACAGACACGCTCTTGTAAATAAGGATCATATCAAATATAAACATTATATTAAAACTTGTCTAGACTTGTGCTCTATTTATCTAGATATCAAAATATCTAACATTAGATATATCGCTAATGCGTTTGTTCTTTAAGGCCTTAAAGTTTTATAGCAGTTTATTGTTGTTACTCAAATGATGCAGCTTATATGCATGTTCAGTGGGGACCAAAAGTCTGTTTTAAAGCTCAAATGCAATTTTTGCTACACTTCACTATATCAGGTCTCATTGAACTATGTTCTTTGATTTAATTTGTGACTTTTAAAATTGCTATGTCATTAATCTTCACAGTTCTACGGACGGAATGGTATTCCTCTGCTGAAGCTAACACCCTATCATGCTCTGTTAGAGTCACCATAATTTCCATCATCAATATGATGGTGACTTTGATGCAGAGTATTGCATGTTGCTAAAGAACTCTTGTGTTTTGGTATTTCCATTGTTGTGGGGAAAATATTATGATTACCTGCAGTAATATCTGTATCAGTATGCAGCTTGATTCTAGCAACGTTTTACATTTTAATGGCACGTTAAACAGCTGTGGGGGAAAAGTTTGGTTTGTTACCTCTGTTATTTTTTAGTCCATGTTTCCTCGTTAGGAGGATTAAGCAAAAGAAAGGTTATTTGATAAGATACGAAATCCTTTATTAGTCCCACAATGTTGAAATTTGCAGTGTTACAGCAGCAATAGTCAAAAAGACATCAGCAAGTAATAAGTAACATGCAATACTTCAGTGTGAGGAATATAAAAACAAATATAGAAATATATGAATGTAATTAAACTAGTATATATACGGTGTAAAGACAGAGAAATATATGTTGTGTGAGAATATGTACAGTGAATGGATTGCACATATTGCACAGACATGAATATTGTACAGTTGAGTTGACTTAAATTGTTGAAGTACAGTCCATAATAATTGAGGTGAATGTAGTTTTTACTAGGAGCAGAGCTGGTTGTATACTCTTACTGCTGCAGGAAGACTGCACGTGAGCATATGAGCCAAAGCAATTTGGTTCAAACCCAGATAAAAAGCCGGTTTCATAATAGGAGGTTTTTTCATGGGTCAAAGTTTAATTTGCCGCAAATTGTAAATGTGCCTGATGGAAGTCTTATTCAGCCTCATCCAAACAGACTTAGCATTACTTAGTCATATAGCACAGAGTCCAGATGCAGTGGAGTCTAATGGCTGCTCACAGTTCAACTGATGCTCTGTTTGAAGCTCTTGAAGAAAATCACTATAATCAAGAAGAACAGATCAATTTTACTTCACCAGGTTCAAAATGAGCCAAATCTTTTGCAAACATCCAACATTTGTTGGTCAGAATATATTGACTGTCTGGTGGAATTAGGTCATTATCATAGTTCCCTTGATCAGGAGCCCAGTAGCTGTCAGTGGTTTTTAAAATGTAAGAATAGATAAAGATTATTTTTAAGGTCAAATCTGATAGCTGCGATTTTGTCTGTCGTCAGTATTCATACATTTGATCATTTCCATACCCCCTCAGACTGTTTTGATTGCTAGTGTGATTATAGACTGGCAGCCTCTAACACCACACTCAAATTATTTCAGACATCTTATATAACAATAAACGCATTCAGTAGCTGTAATTTAGAAGAAGAGGACAAATTTAAACAGACTTGACAATCAGATTTTCATTATCTTTTCGAATCATTAAAATTCTATTTGACGTGCACACCACACGTACGGGTCTAACTCCATGAGTTGGCCTTTTACTGATAGGAAAGAGGCAGGTCTCTTCTCCCCACTGCATTCCTGAGTGCACAGTGCAGTACAGGAGGACCACCCTCACGTTAGGCTGATAAGGGAAAATAAGAGTCAGGGGAGGAGTCAGCCTCTTCATCATTAACCTCAACTTAATGGAAAAAAGCTGAGCATCAACCAATGAGAAGCCGTGAATGACCACTTTAGTTTCAAAAAATTAAATGTATCCCAAAAGCTTTGCCTTTTTCACAAACTTGTATTTTTAGCGGCATGTCATCTGCAAAATACAGCATTTTAACTGATATTCTTCACAGGCCTATTAATGTGACAAAACTAAATAATTCATCGACAATACATTTCACAAGCTCTGAGCGAACTCCTTATTAATGGTGCAGCTCTGGTTTTCCATTGATTCCGCTCCATCGTCCCAGTCAGGGTACACAGGGTCTGCTGAGGCACAGAATGATGCCGGTATAACTCTGTGGCTTTGGTGGGAAATGTTACATGTGGGAAATTATTCTTGGCAGACATTTTCAAAGGCCCCCGGAATAGTTAATATCGGTGACTGTATAAGTCGGCGCTGCGTGGCCCTCCTTGCTGTACTGGGCCATAGTTGTGGTGAAGGGGGGGGGGGGGCACTGCAGCCATTGATCTCAGCCTGTTCACCTCTCAGAAAGAATAATAACAAGCTGCTCGCCTCCTGTCTTTATGGCACTTGGCTTCTCTGCGTTTTAATAAGCGGTTTGGCACACGGGCACAGCTCTGACGCACGGGTTTAGAAATACCACTGCAGTGGCGTCTGGTGATGGTTTTGACTCTGAAGAGCTACCCCCCCCTCTACTTTTTCTTGCCCTCCTCTAATAGGGAAGTGTGTTTCTCATAAAGAAACATGTGAAAACGTAGATCCATGGCTCTTTGAAATAGCTTATGGGTGGTGAACCATGGAGGCTTCTCCTCTAATTATTAAATCCAATTTTTTTCCCCCATTGCTTACTTTGATTGTGACTGATTTGAAGTTAGTGTTGCTCTCAGAAACAGCCTCGTTACTTATCAAAGATTATTGTAACGCCTCATGCCACTGCCTTTTTTTCACTCTCTGACAATCTGATGGCTTTACAGAGACGTTAATGCCAAACTCTTTAAATGTCTACAGCAGTCATTCTATAAGTGGGTCTTCGGGACACCCAAGGGTTTTTGTCTGGATTTTCAAGGAGTCCTTGAAGTGGTTGAGTGACATTTCATTCAAATGAGCAATCATTTCATATTGGGACTTTCTTTTATTTCACTTTCACTCTAAACGTCCTCCTAGGATTAGAAATGTCTACTTTTGGATTTGTCTGATTTGCAGGTAATATCCTTATTTACTCACTTTTTCTAATGTTTATACAGAAATAACACTATTTTACATATCTATAACTATATATGTATATGTATATTGTCAGTGATAACCCACCATGACTTGACCTCATGACAACATGAGGCCAGAAGAGGGCAGACAAGCTACACGAGACAGAAAGAAAGACTTTGATCCCTGGCCAAGAAAAAAGAGTGGGAAAAAATCCATTTAATACTATTACGTGAGGAAACTCATTAATTCCTAAGAGCAATATGAGTGAGCTGATGTTACCGGGCAATTTCTATCTGGCCACAGCCACGAGGAAAAACTGTAAATTTTTCCAAGTTGAATTGTCCTCCATTAAAGTAATGGGCTTCTAAAAGAGAGACACGTTAAACTGTTGCCTTTCATAGGCACCAGAGCACGTATTTCACAAGTTATTGAAGTGTCTGTAATTTATCTGTACCCTGACGGTGTCAGAGACGGCTTTAACACAATGCTCTCTCCCTACAGTCTGCACTTTTCTGGACAATAAAGGAAAGGATTTATGCACGGGACGAGTATCAATCAATAGGCAATGATATTTCTCCTGCTGACAAAACACGTTAGGAGGAGAATTCAATCAAAGATTGACAGAGTTGTTTTGTCACTTTGCCGGACTTGCCCTCCAACCCAGCAGTGTTTCATAAACCAGTACACAATAAAAGTGCACTGAAACAACCACATATAACTCGTGGAGGAGGGAATGAGGTCAACAGTGTTCTCCGCTGGTGTTAAAGCCACAATTCTTACACTTTATCTTTTTGCTGAGAAGGGGGTTTCTGCTGTGGATTACTGCAGGGTCACTTAATGGGGTTTAAATACTGATGCTCTGAGTGTCCGACCATCATTTTTAATACCCGAACAAAGAGACGTGACATCTCAACCTCTCGTCCAGTCACTTCTTGCCACAAAGCCGTGGTCATTTCCTGAAAACATTTAGTTCTACTTCAGACTCCATGAGGCTTGTAAAGTAATAACATTTACATTTTAAGGACATTACACAAAGAGGGAATGAGTTCAACAACAGTGTGTTTGTGTGTGGAATCAGTTTTGGCGTCATGGTTGCTTGACCTTACGTGACCTTTAAGCCCTGGTTGGGAGTGGGCCTGAGCCCTTATTTTCTGCGTCCATCACAGATTACCTCTCTGTAGCCCAGTCTCCTCATTACACCCCCCCCATGTCTGAGCTGACATCATTGTTCCGTTTCAACACAAATTGGTTTGGACCGACGAGGCGGCCGTCACAGTTCATATCAGCCCCTCTCTTGGCCTGGCGGTGTATCCTTACACATGCATCATTATCTCGCGTAAACAGTGGAAATGCGAGACCGCCGGGGGAACGGACGCCATTCACGGCAACAAAGCGAGGGCTTAGTGAAAGGATCCTGGGCGGTGACACTCTCGTTTAGCATCAATTAAAGAAAACAACAAGCAGAGCACTTTCTGAAGGCAGCTGGGTTCAATGTGTTTATTTATACCGAAGCAAATATGTATGTTTGATGGAATACATGCATGCAAAGACATTTCAATCAGACAAACACGGAGGGAACACAGAGGTAACAAAAAAAACGTCCCTCACATTGAAATGTACTTGAGTTGAGCTTGCACACAATACCCTCCCCCCGTCTCTCTCTGTTTATCTCTTCACGTCCCTCTGTCTCTCTCTCTCGCACATAGTAGCTCCTCTGTGTCCCTTTTCGAATGCAGTGCCGGGGCCCCCAGTGAGGGCCTTCCCTTGGCTCTTGAACTGAACAGAGAAGATGGTGTTATCTGAGCGCTGCCAGGAGGTTGTCAGCTCGTATTGGGCCGCATTGACCGAGTGGCCGCTTTGGCGGATGCATGTCCGTGCCAGGCTCCCAGTGCCTTCCCTCCGCGGACATCTGCTGCGTTGTGGAAAAGCTGCGGAGCTTGCCTGTGGTTG